TAATGTCAAATAGTATAATGTCAGAGTACAATCTCAGGGTCCTCAAATGCAGAATTATGTGTGTGTGATGCATTGCTACCCTGTCGGCTCCTTCCCATTAGATGAAGAGGTACCTGAAACCAAAATTGAAAACTGTAAACACAAAGCTTAATAAGTTCCCCCATCATACCACATACTATACAACCATACACATTGTCGAGCAGTTCTTGGGTGCCCAACCTACCTATGTCAATCCATTCTGGGGTGCTGATCTACCCATATCAAGCCATTCTAGAGTGCTGACCTACCCATGTCAGGCCATTCTAGGGTGCCTGCCTACCCTCCGGTCTATCTCTCCCGGTCACGGGGGCTATTTCACCCATACTACTATCACATAATAATATATCATAATCATGATGTCAGAAGTATCTGGGGTGTTCGACCTACCCTTCGGTCCTAACGACCGAATCAGGGACTATTCCCCCTCCTACTACCATTATCACATAGAACATATCATACTGGCACATAGAGCACATCAAATAATAGCAAACCAGACAATTATCACATAAATAATCATCTCCACTATAATAAACTAATAGTAGGTCGGCCTTGGTGCCTTAGACCCACTTCTACTGGAAGGTAACTCACCTTAATATCATGTAGTGTCTGCACTGTCCTCGGTACGGAAATCAACTCTTCTCGGCTCCTCGATCCTTAAACAACATCCTTTCTAAGTTACCATTTCATACTCATAAACCTACCAAGGTCAACTCAAGTCCAAGTCAAAGTCAAGGTCAAAACCATGGTGAAAGTCAACATCTGGTTGACCCGACTCGCGGAGTACCCACATCCACAAAAGGTTACAATCTTGTCCATACTCATCGAGTCTAGCAAGAGCTTGACGAGTTCTCCTTTAACAAACATTGGGTCCTTCTTCAACTGACTCACCGAGTTCGTCCTTGAACTCGTCGAGTTCATCTTCATCCGTATGAAGGTATTTAGTCTATGACTCGCCGATTTCTACCTGAATTCGTCAAGTCTGTCTTCATGTGATTGGGACATTGCCTTGAACTCGCCAAGTTAGCTCATCCACTCGCCGAGTTCTATGATTTCTAGGTCCCTAAAGATCCTAGACAATTGAGTGATTTTCAATCTTATAATCTGGTCCTTTAACAGAGAGGATTTGGTGGAAAATATGTCCCGACTCGCCGAGTCCCTCTTTGTCCCAAACTATACAGCCGATTTTACTTGGTCTAAATGCATCCAAACCATAAATCTGACTTTTAGGGTCCATATTATACGTAAAGCTATGAACTTGATGTCCATGCATGGGGTCTTTGGCTCAAAAATCCATAAAAAAAAGGGTTTATATGTTGCATGGGCCTCCCATGGCCATAAAGTTGACACTTTTATGCCATGAGAACCCTCAATGGTTCCAGATTTGAAGTACAACTCCAAATATACACACAAATCCGAGGATAGCTTCACTAAAGCTTAGAAAAGGTAGAAAATAGCCCCAAATCAAGATCTAAGTAATGAACAGACAAGGTGTCAACTTTATACCTCAAATGAGCAGGAATTGTGCCAAGACTTCTACATCTACTTACTCTATCTTGATCTCCTAGGCTTCCTTATCATTTTCCAACTTCAAATACACAAAAAAGGCACCAAAAAGCTCAAGAACACTCAAATAAGGCTTAGGGTTTCGAGTTAGGGTTTTCTCTGGGTTGGGAGGGAAGATGAGGGTTGGTTGAGGCAGAATAAGTCGTTTAAATAGGGTGCAAACCCTAAATATTAGGGTTTCCTCTAGACAGCTTCTACTCATCGAGTCGGTCTCCCGATTCGTCGAGTAGATCATTAAACTTCCCAGTCAACAATTGAGTCTACTCGACAATTTGGGCCTCCAACTCGCCGAGTCCTAGAGAAAAACATGAACTTACTTAAATTTAAATGCATATCAGGAACCATGTGTTACATATAATCTGCCCTTTACTCGACGAGTTAGGGCCACCAACTCGTCGAGTTACCCTTTCAAAATAAATAAATTAATGAGTTAAAAGCATACCAGAAACCAGGCGTTACAGAAGTTCTGCCCTCGTAGAGCTCGGTTGCTAGCCAAACCTCCTTGTAAGTGAGTTATGCTTACCCTACTTTAAGTATAGGTTATGTTTAAGTTCAATATCATTATTATGAACTTATAAACAATATATATATATATATATATATATATATATATATATATATATATATATATATATATAATATATACAAAGTGTTATTATAGTATCATTTAACTACTCACGGTATGGGGAATCTGGTTTGAAGGATCGCAATAGGGTTGTTGGATTTCAGAAGTGCTATAATGGCAAAATGGTGATACCCTCCGGTGTTTCATATCTGACCCCTTTTTGTACATAGTAGTTGAAAAGTATTGTTTAAAACTTATAAAACAATAACGCTCATAGTCCTTGAGTTAATTAGTTGTAATAAATATTAGACTAAAACTTAGCAATAATAATGCTAAGTTTCGTCAAAGGAAAAGACGATTGTTAGAAAAGAAACCCTGTCCAAATTTCGAGTCAACACTTTAACAAGTGAGTGCATAGTTATTTTCATCTTACACATAGATATGAAGTATTTAATATAAATTACGTGTTATGTGTGCATATTATCTGTGTTCTTGATATCTATGCTGGATGAACCAAATATACATGTTTTATTTGATTTAAAATGTATATGTATTTTATACCGATAAAATTATTGGTAAATATGGGTAGATAAATGATGAGAGATGAAAGATGATATAGATGAACATTGGCAGCTATGGACTTAAGTGCCATATAGATGAACATTGACAACTGTGCCACAACCTGTATGTGTTTTTGAACTACATGTTCACCAGATGTACTCTAAAACTCCTAGCAGTTGCGCCTAAAGGATAATATTGGCAACTGTGCCTAATAGAGAACATCATAATCCTGACAGTTACGTCTAAAGGATAATATTGACAGTTGTGCCTAATAGATAACATCATAATCCTGGCAGCTGCACCTAAATGATAATAATGACAGTTGTGCCTAATAGATAACATTAGCAGATGTGTCATTGGCAGTGATGGACTTCGTGCCTATTCCTTAGGACAATCCTTAGGAATGAATGAGTGAATGATAGATGATTCTTAGGGTAGATCCTTAAGAAATAAAGAAGATAACAGGGATAAGTAATTGGGTTAATTGTTTGATGATGAAACATAATAACTTTATTATTGTGGGTTGAAAACTCTGTGTACTCACCAGGTTTACCAACCTGACTCACTCAGTTTATTTGTATCACATGTATCAATATGAAGCTACTTTACACTGAAAGATTAAAGGAGATGTAGATCACTAGTGTAAATGAATGTAAGGTCTGTTATGTTTATGTTTCTATGTTGACAATGACATCCCAAGGTTTTAATATAAACAAAATACATTTATTCAGAAATGCTTTGATAATATATTTATCATTTTTTTGGAACAAATTCCACAATATTATTCTTTAAAAAGGATACTTTGATTTTGAAATAAATCATAAACAAATCGGTTTTTTCTGGCCGTGAAAATGAGGATGTCACAATAACTCACCAATAATTTTTGTAGAGGTATTTTTAAACGCATGTATTCTCAGTAAATTAAAAACTGGATTTCAAGTGTCATAAGTTATGTAATAACAAATTTTTTTCTTGTCTTTTATCGTTAGCTAACCTGTTCAGGCCTTTTGTTTATGTTAATTTACGTTTTGTTGAACTTGTTTTGTAACTTTTGTTTTCAGAATTCTTGTCGGTGAAACCTTTGTAATTTGATGTTTGAAAGTATGTAACATCATATAAGTTTTTGTATTGTTCATTGTATGTTTGTTAATTATGATCCAACATCGGCGTCGCACCCTCGACGCTTTCGTCGTAGTCCGGTGTATGGCAGATGCTGATGACGGTGCACATGTGACTAAACGCTAGCTGATGGATATCGATGACAACACACATATAAGGAGGCGATGTTTGCTTGGAGGCTACGGTGGCGGATTGGAGTGATGATGACGATTACTTGCATGGGACGAAATCAGTGGTGTGAAAGGGGACAATCACGACTTTAGATGTACCTTTGGTGGCCGAATTTTGACTTCACAGGTGAGGTGAGGATTTCAGATGTAGATAGAGAAACAAGAAGGAAGATTTAGGGTAATTCTAGCTAAAATGGGGTGTGGGGGTGGGTAAGGGTGAGGTACCACCATATTTTTTAAATATTATAATCAAGGTTGTAAAAAAACACTCATTATTAGCTAGTCGGTGAATAGAGGTTAAATGATTAATTAGCTTAACGTGGATTATCAGAGACCATAAATTGATAATTAATAAAATTAAATATAACTAATATCATAACAAAGCTCATAAATAACATTAATATCATAACAAAATAGGTTAATATCATTAATACAACACTACTTATTCATCAAATCGTTTCTATTGAGATAACAATTCTTTAAAGTGTAAAAAGTTTCATCGTGTGCTACTACTTCGCTCATTGTATTGGCATATATTAATCGATAAACACCTTTTAATCGGTTGGTAGCGCTTAGAAAGTAATCGAAGATTAATCGGGACCTAATCGAGATTTTTACAACACTGATTATAATTAACAAAAAATTAAAAATCCGAAAAGAAAATCAAAAAGAAAATAAACAATGACAATATAGTTTTTTCAAGTCTCACAAGAGATGAAATGTGTAGATTTAATCTAATAAAAAATGAAAACATCTAATTTTTAACCAAACAAAAGACAAATCGAATTTATTTTTAAAAATAAAAACCAAACCATAGTGTTAACAAGACGAAAAGACGAAAGATGATTCATGTAATTTACTCAAATATTAAATATATATACAACCTAAAAACTATATTACCTTGCTAAATTATTTTTTATTTGAAAAATTAGCATTATTATTATAAATATAGAAAAACTAAAATATTAAAAAAAAACTCCCCACGTTGCATTATCGTGGGAAAAACAGGTGACTTTTTTATTGGTATTGAGCCAAGCTCGATATCAGTTGTCAACTACCACCAAAAATATCACCGGTTTAGAGTGAGAGAAAAATGGGGGAACAGAGCATAGAAACTCCATTTTTGAAAGCGGCAGAAGATTGCAAAAGCAGGAACAGATGGAGAACAGCAATTTGGTTCTTCATTTCACTTACAGCCCTAATTTGTATGTTTTTCTCGTTTAATTTGATTGCTTTACGATATGCCTTTTTTTTAATCCAACAATCGAACTCTGATTAACTTTGATTCAACGAATTTCACCATGATCACGATGGTAGGGGCTATGAGATTGTTGTTTCTTATCAAGTTCAATTCGTAATCAAATAGTAGTGTAGACGAGATGAATCGGATTTTCAGAACTCGAAATCTTGTGATTTATTAGAGTTCCTAAGCCAATTCTTCAAAATTCTAAACAAGTTGACTTTTTTTTTTTCATTTGAGCTGAGGTTGAGTGTAGTATGTTCTAAGTAAAGGAACCAGTCATGTCTATGAAAAATATAATTTCATATTTTGTAGTTAAATACGAGTTGATCATCAGTAGTACTCTATGCATTAACAGTGTTACAAATCCTTTCTTTCAGTTATCTGCTTCGCATCGAGTCTAGATTGGAGAGTACAAGTAGGCGATGCGTTGAAGGGACATAAAGCTACCAATAAGGTACAATCGAGCGATGAAGTTGAGTCGTGGAAAGCAGTGGTTGCAGCCGATGATGCCCGGTGTTCGGAGATTGGTGCATCGGTTCTTAACGACGGAGGTCACGCCGTCGATGCTGCGGTGGCGGTTGCTCTGTGTGGTGGCGTTGTGAATCCGATGGCTAGTGGTATCGGTGGTGGAGGGTTTATGGTTGTTCGATCTGCAGATACGTCGGAAACCCTCGCGTTTGATTTCAGGGAAACTGCTCCGGCGGCTGCCACGCAGGTTATTATCTCCTTCCTCTCCGTCGGAAACAACCATATAAAATTTCCTAGACTTAATCGCCCATAAAATAAATAACTATTTTTCTGTCATCAATTTCACTATATTAAAAGTTTATTATATATTTCATATTTGTTTACGTTTTTCTCACGTTAATTTCATTAGATTATTTCAAGGGTCATTGAAAAATATATCTTTGATTTCTATAAGTGATCATATAATAAAATAGTATGACACGTAATACGAGCGAATCATTTCATTTTTTATTGATTAAAATATTATTTAATTTTATTAAAATATCACACCACTGACACAACATCTTAAAAATCGTTTTTTTAAAAGCTCTGTCCCTTTCATTAAACATGAATCCCATTTTTCAGTGGTACAAAATAAACAATCGAATAAGGTAGAATGCATTAAGTTGCATTGTACTTCACTACAATTTTACTATCGTATTTTTAAAAATAAATCACTTTTAGTAATTTTTGTATTTTATACTGCAAAAAATTTAACATTTGAAAAGTACTTGTATGGCGTAGAAAGCATAAAAACAGCTTTATTATTCTATTTTTAAGAGTAACTTACATTCTTGGTCCTTTAATTTTTACAATTTTGGTCTCAAAAATGTTCTTTTGCAATTTTAGTTTTTATTTGAGATTTTTATAATGTTTTTGGTCTATCTTTCAAATAAAACGACTATTTTTTGTCCGAAAAATATATTCATCTCACTTGGAACAGTTTAAAAAAGCATTACAAAAACCTCAACTTTAAAAGAAATCATTTCGGGACTAAATCGACCCAAAACTAAAAATCCAAGGACCAAAAATATAATTTATCTCTATTATTATTGACCCATGACTCTCTAGTTTCTACACAGAACATGTATCAAAACGACATAACAACCAAATATTCCGGACCACTATCCATGGGTATACCCGGTGAGGTGGCGGGTCTACACAAAGCATGGCTAAAACACGGTCGATTACCCTGGAATTCCTTATTCCAACCCGCTATCCACCTAGCCAAACACGGGTTTCAAGTCGCTCCATATCTAGCCAATTCAATCTCAAGCAATTCCGATTCAATCAAAAAAGACCCGGGATTACGATCCGTGTTTGCGCCAGGTGGCAACCTTTTACAGGCCGGTGACACGTGCTATAATATCCAACTTGGTTTGAGCTTGGAAGCCATAGCAGAAGGAGGTCCCGATGCGTTGTATGATGGTGTGGTTGGTGAGAAGTTGGTTGATGATGTTGAGTCTGCAGGTGGGATTTTGACTATGGAGGATTTAAGAAATTATGAAGTCAAAGTTACGAATGCTGTTGAGGTTAATACAATGGGGTTTACTATTTTTGGTATGCCACCTCCGTCAGGTGGTACACTTGGGATAGCTCTGGTGAGTTGTTTCATACAACTCCACCACGAATGCAGTACTGTGTTATTAACTATTAATAACCTAGCTAGTACCGCATTCGGGATCTAAAAATCTTAGATCCTTTTGTTGTTAGGATAGAACAAAATTTTTATCCTAACTAAAAGTTACATAAATACTATTTTATTGTAATAACTTGGTCATGATGTTGCCTAAAACACAGGTTTTAAATATTTTGAACGCATTTGAGAACACAAATGATGCAAAGGGAGCATTGGGTTTACACAGATTAATTGAAGCAATAAAACATATGTTTGCTTTACGGATGAATTTGGGAGACCCGGATTTTGTGGATATAAGTAAAACCGCATCACAAATGCTTTCCCCTTCATTTGCAAAGAAAATTCAAAAAAGAATTCTCGACAACACTACTTTCCCTTCAGAATATTACTTGCCCAGGTACATTATTATTATTATTGGAGTAATTTACATTTTTGGTCCTTGAGTATATCAATTTTAGTCCCAAAAAGTATTTTCTTGCAATTTTGATCATTTTTGGTCATGAACCATATTAAATAATTATTTTTTGTCGCAAAGCATAACTGATTTTTGCAAATTTGGTCCTTCAAATATAGTCATTTACTTGTAACAGGGACCAAAAATGTCACAATGACCTCAAATGAGGACCAAAACCGTAACATAAATTTTTTTGAACCAAATTTAAAAAAAAAAAACCAAAACTCCAAGGACCAAAAAAATAATTCACTCAATATCACAATTTTAGTACTTTTTAGAGTAAAATCACAAATTCCTATCGTACAAAATATAACTTACTCAAAATAAAAAATATAATATACTTAAGAATGACTTCTAAAAGATTTCAAAACTGGACCAAACTTGTAACTTTGAGTAAAGCATAGGAGCCATATTTGTAATTTACTCTCATTGTTATTTTCTGAAAACTATTGCTTTTGACCTAAAAACTCAAACGGAACGGATTGCTACATGTACATTTAACACAATAGGTGGAGTCAAATTGAAGACCAAGGTACAAGTCATTTTTGCATAGTGGATGCAGATAGAAACGCGGTATCGATGACCACCACCGTAAACTACCCATTTGGTGGCGGTGTTTTATCTCCGGCAACCGGAATTGTTCTAAACAATGAAATGGGTGATTTTTCGGTGCCTACAGAAATCTCATCCGACAGCCTCCCACCTTCCCCTACAAATTTTATTAAACCTAACAAGAGACCATTGTCTTCCATGACTCCAGTCATCGTCACCAAGGTAAAAATAAATAAAATAATTACCAAATGTTTGACTTTGTGTTGACTCTAAAAAGTCAAATTTTGACTTTTTTTTTTAAAAAACAGGGTGGTCAATTGGTTGGGGTGATTGGAGGGAGTGGTGGGATGTATATAATTCCAGCTGTTTTAGAGGTGTTCCTTAATCACTTTGTATTAGGAATGGAGCCTTTAAATGCTGTTCAATCTCCAAGAGTTTACCACAAGGTATTGGAGTATTTATATTTTTGGTCCCTGAGTATAGCCGATTTTTGCAATTTTGGTCATAAAATGTTTTTTCTTACGGTTTTGGTCCTTATTCGAGATTCTTGTAACATTTTTGTGTTGAATGTAGTTGGTACCGAATGTGGTGTACTATGAGAACTGGACAGTGATTGATGGTGATCATATCGAGTTATCGGATGAAAGAAAAGAATTTTTAAAAGAGAGAGGACATGTATTACAATCAAAATCAGGGGGTGCTGTGTGTCAATTAATTGTTCAGAATTTAAAGAAAAAAAAATTATTTTATAATAAAAATGATAATAAAGAGGTTTTGAGAGGGATGCTTACGGCTGTGAGTGATCCAAGGAAAGATGGTAGGCCGGCTGCTTGCTGACGTCATCTCTTGTGACAATGTAAAATTATAGATACTGAAAAAAAAAAAAAAAGTGACATTTCCACTGAGATTTGTTAGTAATATTGATTATTGTCATGTCATTTTCATGATGAATTAATTGCTGTGTATTATTGGTTAAGAGGAATTGTTTTTTTTTTTTTCCTATCTTTTCATGCCTTTACTTTTGTTCGATGTGGTGTATGATGAGGGCGTATACGCAAGAGCTAAAAGAAGATGGAAAAATTGTCACGTTAATTTTATCAATCAGCTTTTTGATTGATTGGAAGTTGGAATCCTATAAATACCACCACATTTTATATCACTTTTCCTATAGCATAATTGCATAAAACTTGTATCTAATGCAAAATGACCATAGATAATATTGTCACTAAATGCAAGAATATTATAGCGTATTGGGGATAACTAAATGCTTCATCACTTGATCCTACGATCTACAAAAATCAAATTCTGTCATCTTTTGGAAATTTGATCTTTTAGAAAATGATATCATGTATCTATATGTATTGGCGGAGTCACAACTTAAGGTAATAGTGGTTCATTTTATTAATTAATATAATAAAAATTGAAAAAAATAATATTTAACTAATCCTTTAAACTAACACATTAAACTATTGCTTTTTATGGCAAAGAAAGTTTGACTAGTGGGTGTCAAATGAAGAACTCTCTAAAAAAAACTTATGTATATGTGTTTCTTCCATGTCTATACGCTTGTTTCTTCCATGTATAAAAAGAGTCTTTTGAAAATGGCAAAAAAAATATGACATTAGACCTAGTTTCTTCATTCCAATCTTATTAACCTTAGACTTCTTCAACTCATAAATCATTCTTAGATTATTGATTGTAAATACCAAGTTATCAACATAAAAACAAAACAACAATATATCACCGGAATTATCAACTTTGTTCATACTCTTTTGTAGAAAAATGAATTGATGTATTTCTTCCATGCTATTGGTGCTTGACCTTATTTTCTAACAATGTTAGTCAGATGCAAGTTCTTGAAACCATAGGAATCATATGTATCAAAATATTTCCATAATGACTATTTGTGGTACTTTCCGGCAACCATATGAACCATTTGTGTAATTTTGTATAGTCAGTTTTTATTTATTTCATTTTAATGTGTTTTAGAGTGATTATTTTATGATAATTTAACACTATTTATGAAGTGATGTGTTTTGGAGTCATTTATCTTGTAAAATAATGAAGTTTTCACTACTCCTAAAGATGCATTATGTCATTTTTTTTCTGGAGTCATTAGAATTGTTTTTTCGTGTCATTGGTTTTATTATAAGCTAGGTTTGTTTGTGTCGATGGGTTGGGGATATGCTCATATTCTAAAGGCGGTGAGATTTAATTCCATCTCTTTCATTGATCAATATGGCAAAAGCGCACACACATACATCTAACCATAAATTCAGATTAACGGTGGTTCTATGTAATCTTAAATATATCATGCTTGAGTCTTCTTGTTCATATCGTATTTTAAATGTAGTTTCTTGAGTTACCTATTTAACTATAAAACTTCTGAGGCATGCCACCGAGTGGAGTGCAGGGACGAGATGATGATGATTGATTCCTCTTTTTTTTTTTTTTTTTTTTTTTTTTTTTTTTTTTTTTTTTTTTTTTTTTAATTTAGTGTGGTGTTATTTAATGTTTAAACTTGGGTTGTTAATGTAAGGCTTCATTAAACTATTAAGTTACTCTTTTATTTCTTTTGGGTTGTTTCTTTTCCAGATTAGCTTTGGAGTTTTGAGAAGGGAATAAGGCCGAGTCAAAAACATCATCTTTGTCTAGTCAAGTCGAGAATCGGTTCGAGTCTAGAAGTCAAGAGTTGACACCCACAATTAAAAATGAGTGTGGGGTGCGTTCAAGAGAGGGAGGATAGAGTTAGAAAAGTGTTTTTACATACTGCATTAGAAGAGTCTTTACTCTTTAAGACGTTGGTCGACGTGCTAGGTTGAATAACAATATTATAAATATAATTATAAAGATAATAAAGGCTTTGTTACGTTTCCACATCAAAGTAAAATCTAGTACTGAGTTTTTTTTTTTTTTTTTTCATAAGGCCCAATCTCCACGATGTGGTGCCTATTTTCACGTCGTGGATTGTTATGATGAGATGTTTTGTTCACGATTTTATTAATATCCACGACGTGGTATCTTACATTACGGCGTGGCGCTCATTTTCACCATTACGAAGACCATTTGCATGTTTACCTAATGGCTTGCCAAGTTTCTTTTGGGGTCTTTACAAAGACTGTTATGGATCGTTTCTTCCTCCATATAATGTGGCGTATGCTTTCCCACATTCTTCTACATTGTTCATCCACTTTTATTTAAGATTGAAGCATCGATTCATTGCTCGTGGTTCACTTACATATCTATTGAGTTCCAGTCCTAGTTCCTACTTTGAAGAGGTCCATATTCGAGAAACATGTTTTTCCACATTTTTGGAGATGATCACGCTACTATCCCAGGGGAGTCTGTTCCTTTTTCTCCCTTCTCTTAATTTTTATATTAATTTAAGCATACAATGAGGGCATTGTATGAAATAAGTGTGGGGTAAGGGGTAGAAAATGTAAATTGCTAGATAATGGTAAAAATTTGAAATTTTGAAATTTTTAATAATTGAATCTAGTAATAATAATTTGAACTGTAGTTGTTAGTGTTATATAGGATGATCCGATAAGAGCTCAAATGTTTAGTTGAGCCAATACACATTATAGTGCATTTGTGGCCTCCCTTATTTTAGTGAAATCATGGAACAAAAACACGGCCTCGCTTAGTTTGAAGGATGCAATATGTTTAGCATCGTATACCAGAAATGTATACAGGAAAATTATTATCGTTAACCAATAAATGTTGAAGTTGAGCGCCCCTGCTTAAACATGTAGGGTTTTGAGTGAAAAAGTGAGTTACATGTTAAAAAAAAGAAAGAGAAAAAAAATGGAGAGAATTACAAGAAAAGTTTGAAGAGTTTTTGGAGCATCAAAGTCAAAGTATCAAGAACAAAAACCAAAATTCCAAGAAATTCAAAAGTTGAAGATACCAAAAATCAAACAACAAGGTGGTGAATTCAAAGAAATCAAAGATCAAATTATCAAGAAAGTGAAGAATTCCAAAGAGCTCCATAGTGGTATCATAAATTGTAATTGTCTAGATGTATGCTTGGTTGCTCAACCAAAAATACCTTAAGGTTAGGAGGTTTTCTGCGGATGGATTCGGAGGGATACATAAAATGAGCATTGTTCAGAAGAAGTGAGCGAGTGTTTATGAAGATTGTGAGTATTTAAAATATGGGGGTACTTTAGGAAAAATTTAGACACAAATGCATGCGTTGAGGTCTTGGCATAATGGTTGAGCTAGAATTGGATTGTTCTATGAAATGCTAGTGATGAGGGTTTGAGCTTAAATGAGTAGATTTGCTTGAGGGCAAGCAAAGCCTAAGTGTGGGGTATTTTGATATTGTCATATTTATACATATTTTTAGGCAATATTGATCTACATTTTATTATTATTTTGGTTATTTATATAGAATTATGATACTTATAAGGATAAAATGTTATTTGTAGCCAAAATAAAGCATTTTCGAAGAGAGGGACCAAAAGTGACAATATATGGAACATTGGAGACTTGAAGCACAAAAGATGAAGAAATTCACGGAATATGCTGAAGCCACTACGTGAGAGTAAAGGCCACAACATGGACTCGATCCTTCCAGAAGATAAGTACGCGAAGAAAGAATCCTTGGCAAATACGAATACTTCTTAAAGACACGTGAGCTTCCTGTCACGATGTGGAATGTGATTTTACAAGAAATATATATATATATATATATATATATATATATATATATATATATATATATATATATATCCTTGTACCCTACGATTTGGAAGACTTTTGGTGGCTAAGAGGGGTTCCTGGAGATGAAAATTCAGAGAGGAAGAAGACCTGGAAGTTGATTTCAACACCAACGAAGTAGAAGTACATAAGTTGATTCATAGTTTGGTAAACTTTAATATGTTTTGGATTATAATATTTGTTTGTTTACCTGTTAATATGTCCAGCTAAATCTAGCTGCTTCAGTTAGCTAGATGAAGCTGGAACTCATGGTTTTAACGCATTAGATTTAACCTTAATTGTTGGTGATATGCTTGTGTTGATTGAGTTTACCTAGCATGCTTGAATTAGTTATTTAATTGTTGGTGATATGCTTGTGTTGATTGAGTTTACCTAATAGATGTGTTTTGTTTATTGATTAAGTTATTGTTAAAGAACTAAGTTCTAAACTTGCAAAATTAGATAAAAACCCTTTTAGCGTGTTAATAATTAGATTAATTTAGTAGTAAATAAAGTAATTGATAACACCGTTCCCTGTGATCGACACCCGACTTACCTAAACTATACTGTAATCCGACTAGGTACATTGCCTATAAGGCATAGTTAGTCTAAGTTTGTTAGGTTATAAATATTAAAATTAGTGGGTACTTCCGTGCACATCAATGACATATGGGTCATCATAGACAGACTGACAAAGAGTGTCCACTTCATTCCAATCACCGAGAGCATATCCGCAGAAAAGTTAGCAGACATCTATGTTCGAGAAGTGGTGGCCAGGCACATGGTGCTGGTGTTGGTGGTTTCGGATAGGGATGTTCGGTTTACATCCAGATTTTGGAAAAAGTTTCACGAAGAACTGGGTACTCAGTTACATTTCAGTACAACACATCACCCTCAAACTGATGGAAAAAGTGAGAGGATGATCTAGACATTAAAAGACATGCTGCGAGCATGCGTGATAGATTTTTTAGGAAGTTGGGATACATACCTCCCACTAGCAGAGTTCTCATACAATAACAGTTATTATGCCAGTATCGATCGAGCTCCGTTCGAGATGTTATATGGTCGGAGGTGCAGGACCCCCATATGATGGGACAAGGTTGTTCATCGGGTCATGGGGAGGACGGAGGTGGTGCTCAAGACCACTGGGTTGATCCAGCAGGTATGCGACCGGCTGCGGGTCGC